TTATTTGTACTCTTTTGTCCGCCCTCGCTTTAGAGTAGTTTTTCCCAGGACGTGATTTCCATTGTTATTTGATTAATTTAAACAGCACCCAAGGAGAACAAAATAAACAATATATTTTATACATATAAGAGGTACCTTTACAAAAGTGTTCCAATTTTTCGGTATGCCTGATTAGCCGAGTATTTGGAATATACCCAATGATAAGCCTCTGACATTGATCGCTTTTATATTGGAGGCTCACTGATTGCAGATAACTACAGATAATGACTAGCAATTATATATATTTTTATGGGGGAAAGTCCAAAAGAAAACTATGGAAATTAGAGTGAGTAGCAACAAGTACTAACCACCATATTTATTATTTATCATTATAATTATTATTTGTAGCTTCAATTACTGATACCCTTGATAATCACTGTTTGGCGTCATGGTTTTCATTTAATGGCTCACTATCTCGAGTGTCTGTCTGTCTATCGTCCATTTAGAGCATTTCGAAAGAGGTCAGGTCACATCACACAAAGTGACGCAACTAAATAGTGTTTTGATTTCATCTAACTTGACTTGGCTTGTATTATTTATTGCAATGTCTCATTAATTTATGCGACACGTTACGAGCTCCACTTGCATTCATATTTAATATGTTGGCAAAAGTAAGATTGCCAAATCGCAGAAAACTGGAGTAACAGGCTGCCAGCCAGCCGACACACATAAATAACTTTCATAATTGGCTGCTCATAAAACGCTAAACACCCTCAAAACTTTAAAAGCTAACTGCGAATTGGTATTTGTTTTTTATTTTTGATTTTTTATTTTATTTCCATCATAGATTGGGAGGCAGCTAGCTTGTTTATACGGTTGTCAAGTCAGTAAAGTGGATAAGGAGTCGCTGAATACACGAGGCTAATCTCGTGCCCGCATTTCAAACTTGAAATATATACACTCTTGACACCCTTCGAAGCGGAATCAGGCTCACTCTTATTGTATGTTATACAAAAAAGCATTTTATAAGCATTTTAGTTATAATGCCAATGATAAACTTTCCCCCGTGACTAAACGAGAGCTTTAATAATAATAAATTTATCTTGTCCGCTCCCCCCAAAAATCTCTTTGAGATCACTTTATTTTCGCAGCTTTTGCTGTTTGGGGGATCTCATGTCTTGAATAAAATATACTTTCACACATTTTCTACTTTTTTTTTCGAGGGGCAAACTCCGATTTCGGTGAATTTTTACCCGAGACTCGCCACACGTTAGTAAGTAACAAAAAAGTTATTACCTGACTGACGATCAGCATGTGTGCTTATAGGCCCGTAATCATCATTAAACTGGATTTTAAGAGGCTTACATTTTAAGTTTCCAGGTAAGACAGAGGAGAGGCAAGAGCCATGAATGAAAATAATATCATCATAGACACATTGGCACGTTATTCAGTTAACTCTAAAGTCTGAGGTTAATGCTGACAACCGTGTGTGTCGGAACTACATATCTCAGCAACGGCAGGTGACTGATAAGTTAATCCCATTTTCTATGCATATTTTTCTATTTTGTGTACAGATTGCTCTTGACGTTTGAGGCTAAAAATATATATTACAATTCCGCATCACCATCTATTGTATGGGTGTCGTAAACCCCGGACTAATTGCCCACCGGCCTAATGAGAGATTTGTCCGACAATTAATCCAACTGGTTGTTGCTAACTGTTTGGCCCCGGGCCGTGACTCCAACATTCAATGATTAAGAGTCAGCGAAAAAACAAAAAAAAAAAAAGTAAATAAAATCAGCTAACGAACGGCAGTGAACTTTGGATAAGTGTGAGAGTGTGTGTATTGTGGCAAAAGGAAAGTTTTCCTCACGAAAAACGAAAGCCCAGTGTATAAGTTCAATAAAAGCGCATTCAGATATAGCAAAAGTAAAACGCATACCACTTCCCGCCCGGAAGCTGCCTCGGAAAATTAACATACAAAACTCAAACAGTTATTGCACTTGAGAACTTCTCCGGCTATTCAATTAAAAGGCAATCAAGATAGCAATTTAACGGCATGATGATAATAAATCCACTTTTGTGGCGTGCCATTGTACCATATCGTTCAGTTTCTACCTTCTTTATTTTGTTTTCTTTACCGGCTTTTTGTATAACCCAATTACGCTTTCATTCTCGCTCACTTCACAGAGTCTTGAGATCGAAAACACTTTTGAAATTCTAATGATGTTTATTCCAACTCATTTATCATCTCAACAAAAAAAAGACCAATAACGAATAATCGCCCGAATAATGCATATGATTGCGGGTTAAATTGTTTAATGAGCAAACGCGTCACTGGACTCTAAGTTTTGGGTTTCAGTTTCATTTTCAGCACGAGACGGAGTCTCGTAAGGTCAAAGCATTTTTCATGCAACACCTTGAGAACCTCCTCGGGTAGCATTGTTACCACCGCCAACACTCTCGTCTCGATAAAGAAACCAGTTTTCCATGCCACTCTTATTGGTAATAAACAGGGGGAAGCAGGGAAACCAGGGGGAGCTGCAGAGAAAGACCTCTGATGGTGGTGAAGCCGGTACCCAAGACTTGGGAGTGATGGGCTGTGTGCTGATGGCAGACGGCTCGTCAATGGGCCCAGCCAAAGTAGCGGGTGCCGTATAATTGGGCGGAAAGTAAAGTTGACGTCGACCACTCTCTGCAATTAAAGACCGGGCCATAAAGCCAAGATTTCAACCCGCCAACAGCAGAGACTTGAGGGCCTGGATGTGAAGGGGACACCGGCACGGGCACGCCACTCTTTGGTGGCCCAGAGCAAAGTGGCCTCCGTGTTTATGGGCCCGAGAAGCCAGTCACACATGCAAACTTGGCCAAGTGCTCGGGCACGCAGTATGGCATAAAGTTAAGAATAGCAAATAGGTAACGTTATTTGCTTCGGAAAATTGAGAACAAGAAAAAGGGAAATCACTGAACTAAAAGGGTTTGCACACACACACTCGAGATACCCTAACTCATGTGGAAATCGAAATGGAATCACGAAAATCCCTTAGTTATTAGTTTTATTTGCCAGATGTTTCCCCATTTCGATTCCTTATTTATTACGTTCGTTTGTGGATTAGAGCCGGCCACATTTATCTCTATAGGATTCCAGCATCTTCCTAGAAAATGGTAGCATTATTTATGGTAAGAATAAGAGCTGGTAACCACTGTGGTTCTTATAAATACGGGTTGCAAACACAAAAAAGGGAAAGAAAAACTGTTTACTGTTTGCCTTTTGATTAAAGCTCTTCAAGGCCTGATAAGAAATAAAAACAAATGCTTAGATTTATACCTGATAAGGAAAAACAAATAATCATAAAGAAGAATGAAACCAAAAATAAGCTGGAGTGCGAGATCATTTCTCTCGAAATTTCCTTTGTTTTTTTTTCGGGCAAAGAGAAACGAGTAAGTGCTCAGTCATGACACAGTACTTTCCCTTCACCTGCCAGCCTTTTTTGGAAAAGGTATTTTAATTTCAATACATTTATTGAGACGTTTTTACATTTTTGGACAAGCGATCGTTAACTGAAAAGGTCAAAGGAAAATAAAGCCAGAAGCAATCAAAGTGAGAGGCAGGGCCAAAATAAACAATCCAAACACAATCGCTATCTCCACGTATCGTCACGAAACGCAGCTAACGAAGAATGATGATTTGGATGAATAATAAAATGTATATTCCGGAACGTGTGACTGATAAGATAATGGATTATCTAACTGCCTAAATATAAACATTTACAGACCATTAATGCAGGCACCTGTCCCTGCCGAAAATGAATATATATATATGAATATATCCAATATATGTATAAATCTCTTTTCAGTACCGGTAGCATAATGAATGCGAAACGGATGAAACTTTTCGCCTGCACGGTGCTATAAATGAAGCTTTATTTCTTTGTTGTTCCTGTTAAACGTCCAGACAATTTAATTTATTTGCCTGCATTAGGACAAACATGATACCGCAGAGCAGGCTACCAGAGACACAGAGACAGGGAAGGGGGTAAAACAAAGCCTCATCAAAGTACAACTTAGTGCCTCCCTTTCCAATTATAGTGTGTCAGATGAGGGACGCCAACGTCGTATGTTGCCATACACTCGGAAAAATGCACTCATTTTAACAACTATAACTAACAAATCAAAGGTCTACGAAACGAGAACACCTCTCTTTGCCAATAAATATGTCTTTTTTGTCTAGACTCTAGACTTTATGTGATTATTAGTTTTGTATTCCGCCTCTACGGATGCACTTTTTGTGCAACTTTTCTGTGCCACTTCCTATTTTAAGAAAAAAGGAGAGTATCTTTGGGAGGCTGAAGTTTTTATACACTTGCAGTTTGTTATTGAGTTATAAGTAAGAATCGGAAATCGATAACCTTTAAGTAACCACATTTCATGAATCGATATTTATACATTTTTTATATGAGAATTTTTATGACAAATCTAATTTTTCAAAACTCATAACTATGCCAAAATAACATCAAATTTAATTCTGAATTCTGAAAACGGCTCTGTGTTAATTTTTCTAAGGCTAATAAATATAAAACTTTAAAAAAATTCAAATTTTGATATATTTTTTAGTTTTAACAATGTAACCCCTTATAAAATTTTGAAAAAAATCATTTTTCAATCGGGTGGCTAGAAAGACTCGGCTTTTGATGCTGATCAAGAATATATATGATTTATAGGGTCGGAATTTACTTCTTGACATCGCAACAACCTCCTAACTAAAGTTAAAATACTCTTTACAAGGGTATTAAAAGAAGCTCTGCACGTTTCCTATTTATAGATAAGACAAGACATCTACACAATATTTTTCTCTAACTGCATGCGTGCTTGCAGATAAATAAATCACATTAAAAATTAAACAAAACCCGTAGCAGCCCAAAAGTTGTACAACACATTCCTATGTATATGTTATCTCTGGGTCTGAATGAAACATAATAGACTGGGCGTTATAATAGTAAGAGAATGAGTGAGCTACTTACATTCAACATCCAAATGATCATCTCCTCGAGGACAATGTCCATGCTGCTGTGGGCCCCGCTGAGGGCATATTCGACGGGATTGTCACTGCTGCGGCCACGTGGTGCTCCTCCTCCTACTGCTGCTGCTGCTGTTGCTGCTGCTGCTGCTGCTGTTGCTGATGTGGTTGCAAGTGTAGTCCGGCTCTTTGGAGGCGGTGTGCTGCTGGAGAGAGGCGTGACTGTGGCTGTGACTGCAGTTGAGTTGTGTAGTGCCTCTGGGGCTCCTGTTGATGCTGGTGTTGCTGATGTTGCTGGTGTTGCTGATGCTGTTTCTGATGTTGCTGTCGATCCTGTTGTCGTTGCTGATGCAGTTGATGTTCCTGTGCTTGGTGCTAAAGTTGCCTCAACCAGACTCGGCTGGTTGGCATCGAATAACCCCAGTAGCTCCAAGTCCCGCTTGCAGCAGCAGCGGCATATCCGTGGCATTTCCAGTGCGTCCTCGTCGCCATTGCCAGCCGGCAGTAGAGAAAGTTGCTCGTTGGCCGTTGCCGTTGCCGTTGCCGTTGCAGTAGCTGGTGTTGCACCTAAGATATCGAAGACTCTTCTCCTGTTGGCACTCATTTTTGCTTTTGTTTTTCTGTCTTTTCTTTTGCGTTTTCTTGTTCGCTATTTTCTTTTCTTTACTCTTTTTGTTTTTGGCGGTTGTTTATATGAATTTAATTAACCCTGTTGCCGTGGCTTTTGGATTTTCACACGTCACCCACGAACTCGAGCGTCTTTTAGTCGCTGTCGTTGCTGTTGCTGGTTTTCTTACGCTTTCGTTTTGACCACGACGATTCGGAGACCTAAAAAACCAGAAAAGGCCAGAAAGAAACATGAGCAACGGATTTGTTAAGAAGCCTTTCGCTGCACGAGACATTGCGCGAGTGTGCGAGTGTGTGGACCGTTGGTGTTGTGTGCGTGTGAGCCAGTTTGTGCTTAGTAGGCCAACAAGAAACCGAATCAGAATATCTAAGTTGCCCCCCAAGTTTATTAGCAGCGGAAAAATAAACACACAGCATCAGTTCTGTTACTTTTTTTCTTCAAACTACGCGAAGGGAATAACTAGATGAAGCAGTTAGTCTTTCCTTTTCCTTTAACGGGAATTACAAATTAAACTGGTTTTTTTGGACGAGTTTTTGGTAGCAGGAAAATATGCATTCCTATTCAGGATTTTGCATTCTTTTTTGTCACAATTTATATATGTATGAAAACCAAAGAAGTTTCGGTATTGCGAAACCAAAATTAAACACTGTTACACGGACAAATAACTGAAAAAGACAGCCTGGCGATCACTGTTTTTCAGTTTTTTTTTTTAATTCAAATTCAAGATCGGCTGTTTTCCGATAACTTTTCAATATTTTAGCCCCAAATTGAAAGAGCGTTTTCCGATTTTTTTCATTTCAAATTTTGGTTTAAAATCGGAATAGAATAACCCGAAAACACCTGCCCTTGTGGAGCTAAAATAAACTTTGGCGCAGTTTTCTAGCCTTTCGAATATATAAACCACTAGAAAAACTGTTTTGGCTTTTTTGGTTGTTGATTTCCTTTAGCTTTTTTTCTATTTCGTTGTCGTATGCGTTGTTGTTTTGTGGTTGCTTTTATTTTTGTTGTTACAGCCGATGAGAGATTTTCTTGAAATGATCAAATTATTTTTGGTGGCGGCATTTGCGTACGCACACACACACACACACACTCGGAATAGCATTCGCAATCAGACGGACACTCGCTCACACACACGAACGCACACGGGCGCACATGTGGGGCAGGAATTTAAATTGATGAATTAAATGCATTTACGTTACGCACACAACCAAATAACTGATAGCACAGCGACGGCGAGATTTCCGTTACTTTCCAACCGACAACTGTGATTGCTTTCGTGGCACGGGACGGCTCTGGACCCGTCGCGATTCCCTGGCCGTTAAACGTTCCGAAAATATGAGATTGTGCTTTTTGAATTCCTCGCACAGCGCCAATTTCATTATTCGATTATACGCGCTGGTGCTTGTTTTTGGTTTTTGGAAAAAAAATTTTGAACGGACTGGGCTCGCGCACTTGTATTTATAGGTTTTCCTCGCCAGCCGAACCGAACCGAACGTGTTCGGTGCAAGGCGAACATAATGCAACATGTTCAGTGAGAGTCGAAGACGATGGAACATGTTCTAATGAAACATGTTCGAAGTGGAGCCGGGTGTGAGCAAAGTAAACGTAAATTTCATCTCTTCTTGAGGTAAAAAGCAAGAAATGGATCCCTTGAAGGAGCAAGGTCGTTCCAACCGAAGTGTTGTCCTTATCTATCTTATCTTATCTGTACCGTTGTAGCGTGTAAACCATTTAATTAACGTCAATTTATGTTTATGTCAACCACAAATTGAAATCTGTTGACCCGAATTTACACTCCCATTTACCCAAATGCCTCTACTTAAAAATGCAGGTGCCTTGTTCAACCGATCACCCCCTGTACAGCGTAATCAAATTTTAATTAATATGTTTGTGTACATCATATTAATTACATTTTGGTTGTGCGCTCATTGAATTAACAGAGTGAGCGGGAGAGTAACAGACAAACCGTTTAAGGGAAAATTTCCCCGTGGGGAATTCGAATAATTGGGTCGTCGAACAGAATATGTTGAAAAGCTTGCCCCTTAATAATTAAATTCGTTAATATTTTAAAACAAATGTATACCTTTGAAATATGTACAGGAAAAATGTATTCATTGAAGCTCATAATTGTTTGGTACAGTAAGGTAAGTGCCACCAGGGATGTCCTACTTTTCAAAGAAAAAATAGATAAATTGACAAAAGGAAAACCCGGAATTCCTGGGGAAAAACTCAACTTTAGAATACTAAATACTCATTTAAAACATTTTATCATTAAAACTTAATTCAAAAAAGTGAAAATAAAAAAAGCTGCTTACATGTGCTTGAAAAAATTGACTTTTTCGCTGCTCGCTGTTTTTAAATTCTTCCCGCCATCACACTTTAAATCTAGCCAAATATGACCGAAAAAAATCGGAAATGACATCGCTGAGTGTCACAAGAGTTTTAAATTATTATTATTATTTAACTATAAATTATTGTCAGAAAGAAATCTGACAATGATGTTTTCACAAAGGCAGATAGTATTTTAAAATTATTTTTCAAAGTTACACCAGTAAAATGAATAAAATAGCAATTTAAATCTTAATTCAATTATTCGAAAATTTTAAAGTCGTGCTTTCCAGAACCGTCTTTCCGCGACATTTACTGCTGGAGCGATTTTCTTAACTACTTTCAACTTGCTCGACTGCATTTCCCTAAACCGGATTAAGGTTGTCGAGGTTTTTAATCCTCACAGGCTTTTGTGCCTTCATTAACTGAGACCAGGCTAACAGCAAAAGCTCGCTTAATTAACCAGTTAATAGGAAAAAAATCGAACAATAATCTGTATAGCTTTGGGCGTTGTTATCTTGCTGCAGACACAGGGAATTTTCATACAGGAATTTATCCCGAACGCGAACCCTCACGTATAACATACATGTTGAAGAGCGAAAGAGAGACAATGAATCAGCTGTTCGCGGCAGCACCAAAACAGAGAGCAGGCAGTGGGAGTGAGATGGAAGACGGGAAGCAAGAGAGCGCCAGCGAAATGTGTGCAAAAATTTCAAACAAAATGCCAATTATGCCAGAAAAGGAAATCGCAAAAAAGAAAAATTCGAAAAATAAAATACAGCGATAAGTGGTTGGAAAAGCTCGGTAAGCAGATTAATTTGGAGAGCTGTGTTTCTCCTAATTGCTCCTGAACGTCAGTGCCCAGCCCATCACTCTCTCCCCCTCCCCCTATACCATGCGGTCTGCCTCCTTGTCGCTCTTGTTGTTGTTGTTGGTATTTTCATTTATGAGCACTCTTTGTTTTTGGGCTCCATTCGGCGGGCGCTATATCGCCCTCCTGTTCTATCCGCCAACCGCTAAAAGGCGCACATACACAGCACACACACTCTTGAGCAAGAAGGACCCTTTGTGCGCCTGCTGAGAACGCATCAACTTGAGATTTCCACGCAGGAAGCTCGAAAGCACATGTAATTGGTCCGGCATGCTTTTTATCCGATTATTACGCTTTTACGCTTTATACTCACATTTTTGGCGAAGGCGCCTGGGAGCGCACATCCTGGGCGATTAACGCCGCCAGCGGGGGCCGGCGGCAGAACCAACCACTTCCATGCAACGCGATGATAAGTGTCCTTTTCCTTATCACATTCACAAATCTCCAGTCTAAAAACACTCGTAAAACCCGGTTTCTCGATTTTTTACAAATTTTTTGCGCAAATCCAGCTTGGTAAGTACGGTTCCGAAATCAGTGCTGGCAAAACATGATATCGATATACATATCTGGCATGTCTGAAAATGGAGAAGCTTTTGAAGCTAGCAGCTAGTTTATAGCCAAACTAGTTTTTGGCGTTCTTTTTTAAATTTGGGGGAAACATTTGTGAACGAGGTGCAAAAAATCAACTTAATTCAAAAATATCTATCGGTTTGAACAAAATTTTAAACTGTTTATGTTCTCAATACAAAATTGAAATATCCCGTCAAATAGAACCAGAACCAGTGCCAGTTTCCAAATTTAAGGAAAAATTAACATCGCACGAGCTATCGATAAGCGATAATATTTCGATTGTTGGTAGTGAAAATAATCGAGACGCGTGGTATAAAATTTACAATTTACAAACTCTACAGACTTTTTTTTGGGCTTTTTCATTCAACACGAAAAAATGACACATGTTTTTCTCTCTAGGCTACCTCTTCAGCTATTTTCAACACCAATGTTCATGATTTATTTAAGTGTGACCGTTTGTCGCTTAGGCTGAAATCCGTTCTTTTTCGAAGGAATTTTTAACATCTTCAACGCGGTCTTACTGCACCGCGTTTCTGAAGTAAACATTTGTAAATAATTTCCATTTTCGCTTAAATTACTGCAAAATGTCAATGCAAAAGGCCAAAATCATCGACCAAAAGGAGTACCTCAAGAAGTACCTCTCCGGAGACAAGGAGAAGAGGAAGAAAAAGAAGGAGAAGAAGCACAAGAAGGGCACCAAGGTGAAAATCATTGATGACGATGCCTACGATGATGACAACCGGGAAATGGACGAGGATCTGCTGCTGGGCGGTGAGGATGCACCTCAAATTGTGGGCGAGTACATCGAGGAGGATCCCAACGTGCGCAGCAAGTGGCGCAACATTGCCGTCAAAGACGAAATCAAGGAAGAGCAAGGGGCAGAATGTCCGCCACCATCAGCGGCTGATATCCGCATTAAACAGGAGCCGCTGGACGAGGAATCGGGCATGTGGGGCCGCAAAGCTACTAGCACCAAAATTAAAGATGAATTCTCTCCCCCAGACGAAGCCCTCCCCTTAGAATCAAGCAGGAGAAACGCAGCAGTTCCAGGGATTTGAGTCCAGCGAGGTCTCCGAGACGGAAAAGAGACGCAGATCAGTCGCCACAGCGTAGGAAGCGCAGGGATTCCGATCAAAGTCCTCCAAGGCGAGGTAGGGATCAAGATCAGTTGCCACAGCGAAGGAAGCGAAGAGATTCTGATCAAAGTCCTCCAAGGCGAGGTGGGGATGCAGATCAGTCACCACAGCGTAGAAAGCGACGGGATTCTGATCAAAGTCCTCCAAGGCGAGGTAGGGATGCAGATCAGTCACCACAGCGTAGAAAGCGACGGGATTCTGATCAAAGTCCTCCAAGGCGAGGAAGGCACGCAGATCAATCACCTCCAAGAAGACAAAGAGACGCTGACCAGTCACCACCTCGAAGAAGAAGGGATTCCGACCAGAGCCCGCCCAGGAAACGAAAGGATAAGGACCAATCACCACCAAGGAAGCATAGAAACTCCGATCAAAGCCCTCCCAGGCGTGCCAACAGTGACTCCGACCAAAGCCCACCCCGTAGAAGAAAGGATAGAGATTCGTCTCCACCTAGAAGGCAAAGGGATTCCGATCTAAGTCCACCCAGAAGACGTAAAGAAGACGATCATTCGCCGCCAAGGAAAAGAGAGAAAGATGCCGACCAAAGTCCACCCCGAAGACGCAGGGATGACGACCACAGCCCACCAAGAAGACGCCGCTCTGTCAGCAGAGATCGAAAGCCATATCGGGACCAGAACCCCTTCAAAAAAGAAGAGGGCCGCGAGAGGAAGAGCCGCTGGGCGAAGGCTTCAGCCAGCAAATCCCCTTCGCCACCACCCACGCACAAACCTAAATCCACCAAGACTCTAGATGGCAAGACTGCTGGGCTGCAGGATGCGCAAGCCCTGAAGAAGGAATCGGATGAGAGGAGAAAACGAGAGCACGCCCTATTCGAAGAGATGTCCACTGAGGTATCAGGCCGGGATGCTGAGATTCAGATGCGTAGCACCGGCCGGAAGGGACGTCGGGCACGTGATGCGGCCAACGAAGATCCCGCGGAACGCAGACGCAAGGAGGAGCACGAAAAGAAGAAAAAGGAGCTCTATGATAAATGGGGCAAGGGTCTGAAGCAAATAGAAGACCAAAAGACACGACTCGAGGAAATGGCTCATGAAGCTGCCAAGCCAGTCGCCCGGTACGCCAACGATGAGGACTTGGACAGGCACCTGAGGGAACAGGAGCACGCCGACGATCCGATGCTGGAGTACATGCGACAGAAACGCAAAAAGAAGGACGAGAAATCCAACAAGCCGGTGATGCCCAAGTACGAGGGCAGTTATCCGGAGAACCGCTTTGGTATACGACCAGGCTACCGATGGGACGGCGTGGATCGGTCCAATGGCTACGAGAAGCGCTGGTTTGACAAGCAGAACGAGCGCAAGGCGGTGCAGGACGAGGCCTACAAGTACAGCGTGGAGGACATGTAAACTTTACTATTTGTAATAAATATTTCACAACTGCCTGTAAAGCTTACAAACAATTACACCTGTTTTCCTGATGATTTTTAAGTAACAAATTGTAATTCAATATAAAACTTTAATATTTTACAAAGAGAACATTTGTATTATGAGATTTTAATATTCTTGAAATAATGACGAAGGTCCATCGATGATAAAATAGGAGAAACATTTCGTGTACAGATTTCAAATAAAAAGTTTTAATTAACACAAAATTTTAATTCTTGTAGGAGAAACATTTTTGAAATAATCGCGAAATTGCATACAAGGTGAAATTGGTGGAACAATAATTGTTGATGATCTGATATATTAATTAGATTTGAAATAAATAAATTGTTTTAGTTAATAGTCGGTAAAACTATCCTTCTTGAAATAATAAAAAGAGTTGTTAATTCATACATATTTGCAAAAAGTACAAAATATAATTTAAAAACACAATTCAAGAGCCTTGTTGAAATAGTGACGAAATTGCATAAATGCATATGTGAGAAGAGAAGTGTTTAAATTATACATATTTGTAAAAAGTAAATAATATAAAATAGATAAATAAAATAAATAAATTGTTTTAGTTAATAGCCTTAATATTAATGTCGGTAAAATCTGCATTCTTGAAACAGTGACGAAATTGTAAAATGGTAAAATATGAAAAAAGAAATTGTTTAATTATGAATATTTGTAAAAAATAAACAATATTAGTTAATAACAATTAATATTATTGTCGGTCAAGGCAGCCTTCTTGAAATAGTGATGAAATCGAGAAATGGTGAAATATGAAGAACAAATTTTTTTTTCCTGGTTTTATAAGGATCTAAAATAAATCATTTGGTTATTTACTTACTTAATATTAATGCCACTAAAAGCAATCTTTAAATAAAAATAGATTTTCAAATAAAAACATTTAACTTAATGTTTTAGTTTCATGATTTTTGAATTACCCGCCAAACTTCGATAACGCGCACTTGCTACTGCAGCCCTGAATTTAACTTGCTACATTCTTCCCGATGTATCTGTAATCGCGTAAAATGATAATCTTGACATGTAAGATGTAAAATGTTAAGCTACTGCGTCGGAATTAGAGTGACCAAAATTCAAATATAAAAATGTCTACAAAAATACCGTGACAATTTGGCCACACAAAATAAAAAAACAGGTGTTCAAAACAAAACAAAATTCCACCAAAAAAGAAACGCTTAAAACTCCCGTAAAAACTGATCAATTTGTGACAATCTAAGTGTAATTATTTAGTTGAATGCTTGTGACACCTACTGAGTGCTTTACTTTATCGGGTAAGTGCCGTTTTCTGATAGATTAATCCATTCTAACATTTTTGCTTTGTAAGCAGTAGAAATGGTGATTTTGCTTTGCTTTGTTGCTGTTTTCGTTACAACGAACAAAGCGTAACAATTTGTAAGAGTGTGCGAGGGGGCGGGGAAAATAGTGTTGGTGTGCGTGTAACTAATTAGCATAAAACTTAGCCACAAAAACAAAGCCAAAGAAACGTGTTGTTGTTGGTGTCTGCATTGGGCTTGGGGCATTTCGGTGGTTGTCCTGCCCTTCGCCTTCAACCGCAATTGTCGGTCAGCCGATGGAAAACCTGTTTGTTTGTTAGCTGCTGCTGCTGCTGATTGTTGTGATTTTGTTGTTGCTGCTGCTGCAGCAGCACTGCAATTTCTTTGGCGCAAAATTGGCGCGAAAAGTTTTCCAGCTGCAAAAACGTGTAGAAATCAGGCATTTGGCGCATGCATCTCTCTCGCTCTCTCTGTATCTCTTCCCCCCTATTATTTCCCTTTCTTTTGTGCCTATCTCTGTGGCATGCAAATACTGCAATCAGCAGTGGCTGAGTCTCTCCCCATCTCGTTCTGGCTGACACACATACACACTTCCGCACACGGCATTCATTCATGACACTGTTATTTGCTCCCTCTCTCTCTCCCCCTCATATTCGTGGTGTGTATTTCTTCTTTGTATTTCACTTTGCAATGTTTTCCATTTCTTAGATTGGTTTCCTACTCAAACGAAGATTTGAATTAATTTAATTTAATTTATTGTTTACAAATGCAAATTTAGGCAATTTACACGGTGCAAAAAGTTAGCAGTACTTACAGTGGCTGCCTAAGTCAATATTTTTAATTTTAGGAATGATGTGCTAAAATATCAGGGGGTAGTATATAATTTAAACACTTTGAAGTTGTTTGCAACATTTTTATATTCTAGGGAAACAGAAACTGGAATTCATTTTAAATCAATTAGAAAATGTTTCTAAGAAAAAGCTAAGGAATCTTATTTTCCAACGTCGAAGTTTATTTAATAGTAAATATAAATATTAATTTTGATAATGTCATCAATTTTCAAGACCCTTCCCAGAAATGGAGCTAAATTAAATAAGCAGATCAACGCCTAGCATTTTTGACCCCCAAAAAGGAAGAGCAGAAGACACCCCAAGAAAGCCAAGAACCTTGGCTGGTCCCAAAAACATCCCCCAAGCAAGCTCAACCCTTGTCCTTGGCACTTCCATGTGCATTTCCTTGTGCTTTTTCCCCGTTTAGGGTGCTTCCAAGGACCCAGTGACATGACATTGTAATGGCTTCGAAATTTACACGCATCTCCTGCTGAGTGCCTGCTTCTCGGCACCCCTTACAATTCCGAGATTGATCCTCCCCTTTGGTCCACTCTTGGGATTCGAGGGGTTGCTTTTTGTCTTCAGCACTGAGGAAAACTCACCTTTGCATAGGAATTTCAAATTATGTTCTAAAATTACTGATTCCTAGGAATAAAAACAAATTATGAATATAACGTTATCTGTTTAAAAACCCTCTCAAGGGTATTCTAATTTTAGTCACAAGCTTGTAATGCTTTGAAGGAGTCATTTCCGACCCTATAAATCATATATGTATATTCATGATCAGCATAAGCAGCCAAATCGAACTAGCTATGTCCGGAGGAAAAACAAAATTTTTAAAAATTTTTAAAAATTTTGACTGTTATGGGTTATTTTAACTTTCATTATTCGGTAAAAATTTTTATATGATTGTCATATTGATTTAGAGAATGCGAATATTCGATTCGATCCTATAATTAAATTGCAAAATGCAAGGATATATAAACATTGGCTTCATTAAGTTAGTTTCCTTCCTTATTAGAGTTTAAGTCTTAAACCTTGGACTTCTTTATTTTTTTTACAGTGTAAACTTTTGGTACTGGAACTCTAGTATTTTTTGTAAAGCCTTTTTTAATTCCTTTACATGCTGGAAGCACTGAAGGGCAAAGTTATTCAAATTTCCTTTGTTCAAGGCCGCCCTGTTGAATGGGGAGTGAATTCGGGATTCATTTGGCTTGATTCGAAGGAATTTCCTCAACACCACGTGCTTGGATTTTGGGATTTCGAATGAGTCATAGAATGGGGTTGTTGCTAGGGAAGCTTCTGAGTGGAGGAACTACTCAAGTTGAAACTGGAATTCGAAGGGAAGATCTTCCAATCAGTGTTCTCTAGGCATACGATTCCTTCCCTTCGATTTCATATTAATTCCTTAATTATTACCTCACCGACTTCAAGCTGGGAGAGGAAGACCCCTAATACACCCCGCTAGGTTAACAAATAACCCAAGGAAAACAATGGAATTTTCATAATTTCTCCCTGCCCATCTGGTTTTTCCTCCTTTTTGTACCATATCCTCTTAGAACAATGTTAGGTAAAAGCGCCCCGCTGGAAAAACTAGTTTTTCTCTTCTTTCTTTGATCGGAAAACAGAAGGCGAATGCCTTGTAACCAGTTTTTGCTAATTTGTGCACACGTGCAAATCCTTGAAAGGACTCTTTGAGGAAAACTCGTTCTTGCCCGAGGCTCAAAAAAAGAAAGTGTTGGGTTCAAATCGCCGCTGGCCACTGACACGGGAAATTAAGGTTAATTCATCAAAATTTTCTCAAAGTCTGTAAGGAAAATTCAGTTTCCTTGCATCATTTTTCATTTGGATAATTAGGTTCTTGTTATGACATTTCAGAGTTCAGAGTGTGAGATCATCAAGTGGTGTCAAGATGACTCAGCCTTAAAGTGATCATATTATGGCCAGAATGAATGGTTATTAATGAGAGTTTAAGCTGGGTTCAAGTGGCAGTCAAAGGGATAGGAAAATCAAAGTTGAGATACTACCCATAGTCAAGAAGTTAAAATAGAGCAAGAAGAATCTATGATCTATTGACTAATCTTAAATAGAATATATCTAATATATAGCTTTTGTTCTAAAGCAATAATCTATTAAAAGTTTAAGGATAACACTGAAAGCTGACCACAGGGAAATCCTTTTCCCTCTAAAAACCAGCGGCAATACTCTACTCAAACTGAGTCATAGGCTCCAGCCTTGAACCATAAATCAAGGAGGCATTGTTCCCATTAGATTGTTCTACTTACCAAACTGCTTACAGAACTTTGTAAGACAGACAATGGAGGGGAACAATCCAAAGGAAGAACCGAATCCTGGGACAACCCGCTGCCCTAGATAAGCATGAAAAGCATCCCAAGATCTCTTATTATTATTATTATTATTTTTAGTTCGCTAGAGTTCCGTGAATGCTATTCGGAATGCCAAATTTCAATTTCCAGTTTGCTTTTGAACAAAAGCACACGCATATGGATCAAAGGACATTAACTTTAGTGTCTCGAAAGGGGGAAGCGAAGACAGCTAGGATTCGGGACAATAACTTGGGACGAAGACAGGACAATGATATGGTAGCGTCTTAACCTACCCTTGGCCAAGTTTTATGTGCTGCTCTTATGTTTTCCCAATTTTTCACGTTGGCTATAAAAACAGTTCCGATTCTTTTCATTCTTCCGGTTTTGTTTTGTTAGGTGCGCGTTTTTCCCCCTTTTTTCGGGAGTTTTCCCTCCCTCTTCAATAGAAATGTAAATAAGAAAATTTTAATAATAATTGAAATGAGTTTTCCATATGGCATAAGCAATCGAAACGAAAGGCAGTCGAAAAAGGATCTTCAAGGAGGGTTGCATGCAACCAACCCATTCTAAAGAACTG